CACCTGTTCTCTTTAATTGTGGACGCATATTTCCTTTTTAGAAGTTCAGAAACCAACTATGATGTTCTGAAAAAAAATATCTACGCCCGTGGTTGATAGTCATCTTTTTCTTTTATCAGTTCTTTCACTACTATAATTATTCTATATAGATATTAGAATGTTCTATTATTACATATATTTTCGTCCTAAAAGTAGTATGTAAAATTTTACCTATATATATTAAAACAAAGTAATAAGTTATTTTATTTAGCTGCAAAGATATTTTTAAAAATTGATTAAAAAATTAATTTACAAACGATGTCAATGTAAAAATAATAGTCTGCTTTCGTGGGAAGAAGTGAAAATATAAATAAAAAACGAGGTAACAGAAATAAACAGAAGCTGATAGCCTCCTCCTGCCGAAAAAAGGAAATCAAGTTTGTTTTGATTTGGTTTGGGCTCTGCCTGCTTTCAGGGGGATGAGTGTGTATATATTCAAGAAGCGCAAAACTTAAATTTGTCTTTTCCTTGTAACTCTTGTGGGAAAAACCCGAGGCTGAAAAAAATAGCAAGAAAATTTTTATTCATTGTTTTTTTTTTTTTTTTTCTGCAAGACAACTGAATTTATGAAGGCAGAAGAAAATTTAAAGCAGCTGTATCTTTTAAACGGAAAAGAAGACAGCGGAAAAGCCAGATGAATTAGTCAACAAGAAATATCTTCCCGGGTTTCAAAAGGCAGACGAGATTTGGCCAGATTTCGATTCTTCCTTTCGACAGAGCAGAAAAGATTTACAATAAGAGAAGAATTATTCTCAAAAGAAAATATATTCGGTTTATTAAGAATTTAATTTGAGATTTATGTAATGATTCTGGTACAATATGTGCCAAAAATTTAAAAGAAAAATTGGAAGGTATGTAAGAACATTTTTGTAGTCCTACAATTAATATATCATTCTCTACAGGTTTATAATAATGATTATTATAAGTGCTGATATTTCGGTGAATTTGGAGTTTTGAATTATTTTCATTTATTTCTAAACAATTGTCTAAAACAAACATAACTAAAGCAAAGTCCATTAAAGTAAAAAAAATAATTTAGTATAGTTATGTTAAATGATGCTAAGAAATATTTGGTACAACAATAAATTTATTCCATTAATTTGATATTAATTTGATCTAATTTAATTAAATTCATTTTTAATTTTAATGTTAATTTATTGCTTATGTAAAAAAAATCTGTATTAACTCATCATAATTATTTTTATCCAGGAGATTTTATCGTCACTTGTTAAAATAAAGATGTTTCTTCAAATATGAACAAACATCAAGCAATCCTTTTCTTTTCTTTTTTTTTCTTCTGTATTTTTTAATTGTCTTAGTTTCTTCATTGTTATCTCCATGTCGGTAATTATTAACGTAAACTACCCCCCCCCAGCATATTTAATACCACCATAAAAATAACCAATAAGGATTACAAACTGCAATTTCTACCAGTTACATAAACGCAGTCATCAAAAACAAGCAAATAACCAGCTTTAAAATAATAACAAATAAACTTTGAAAAATTAAAAATAATAGCAATTTTTACCTATCATAATTTTACACAGACCCCACCACACGTATATACGTGCATGCGAGGAAATATTATTCAGCGAAAAAATAGAAAAATGCTCTGATTGCTGACATGTGTACATTCACGAGACATTCACGAGAAATTTTCACTAAAAATCCGATCTTGGAATTTCAAAATACAAATGTGTATGTATGTAGACAACAGCACACATATACATACATATATCAAATCCCATACTGTCCACATATGTTTATATCTGTATGAGCCCTGGCGGACGAACGAGTGTGTATGTGTGTCTGCGTACCTCATCGGGTGTACAGACATGCATCTATGTTTGCGTTAGCATGAGTGACATCACGACAAAGATTTCCGCCCCCCCCACACACACACTTCCATAATAACATCAATACACGCAATCTACATAAATCCAAAATTTTTAAAAAAATTAATCACTTTTTCTGACGATCGCAAAAGCGTGAAACCCAGGGTCACAAACTCACATCAATCCAACCAAATATGTTAGCTCTATCTCTGATATTGAGCGCTTTCTAATAAGTACCGAGCATATAATATATAAATAATAATATATATATATATATATATATATATATATATATATATATATATATATTATATGTTTATATTTATATACGCACACTTTTCACATATATATATAGTGCCATCCACGTACAGGCCTGTTTCGCTGTATCACAGACTATCAATGCGGCTAGACATCCAATTGCTTCAAGCCGGGATTGAAACCCGACTGATTTAGAATCAGACGGAGTTTCTACCCTGAGTTTCTACGGCAGAAAGAAAGGGAAATTCTAGCGTATTATTTTCTTTTGCGAATGTAAACAAACGCTAGAAAGGTAGATATATATATATATATATATATATATATATATATATATATATATATATATATATGTATGTGTGTGTGTGTGTGTGTGTGTGTGTGTGTGTGTGTCATTTGCAGACAGTAGTGTTTCGTTGTATCACAACTCCTCAGTAGACATCCAAATGCCTCAAGCTAAATCTAGGGTATTGTTTTACGAATGTAAACAGATACCAATCATCCGAAGTGCTCCATTCACTGAAGAGCTTTACATTAGCACAGGTGCCTGTTGTTTATAGAATTAGCTCAATTGAAATATATTTTCTAGGGCTGTTTTGCTTTATCACAGCACCTTAGTGTGACTAGACATCCGAATGCCACAAGCCAAGATCGAAATCCCACAGAGATTCTACAACTGAGTTATCTTCACTCTGCTGAGTTACACAGCTAAATCCAGCGCATTGTTTTTTACGAATGTAAACAAATGCCAATCAGCCGACGTGCTTCATTCATTTTACTGAAGAGCTGTTGTTTTCGAATTAGATAATGATAGAGATAGGACATTTTTATTTCGACATGTTTCACCAATGAACTGGCTCATCAGAAAAAGAAAAATATTAGTTCATGAGAACAAAATCTATATGAGCGATTGGTGAGAGCCTCTGAACATTTGATTTTTACTTTAACTGTATCATTATAAAAATTAGATTCTAATCCACTTCAACAGTTTCATTTGAATTTTTGCGTATTGCACAATTGTTTCCTAACCAATTTAGTTGTCTGTTGTTCCAGTTTTTACGAACCATCCAACAATCGGCTTATTAGTCTTCTATCTCTTTTTGGGAAACTCCTAGGGGGCCTAAGAAATGCTGAAATGGTTTGTCTCATCACAGGGACTTTTCTCAGACAAGCAATACGGCTCTCATTTCTCCAGGTCAACTGCTAATGTACTGGCGATAATTGTGGACAGAGTCTCTCATGCTCTAGATAAAAGCGGTGAATCCCAGGTTCTAGCATTGGACATCACGGAAGACTTTGACACACGGTCTGACATTCAGGTCTTCTCCACAAGGTGAAAAGTTACAGCGTCTCCGGACACATTTTTAATTTGATCCAGTCTTTCCTGTCAAATCGTGAAATGGATTTGTCCTGAATGGCCACTCGTCTAAATCCTTTCGTACTAACGCGGGTGTCCCCCAGGGCTCCATCCTTGGTCCTACGCTGTTTTACATTTTCATTAACGGCCTTCCCGATGACATCAGCTCTCAACTTGGCATCTACGCCAACGACACTACCTTTCTGCCTCGATAGTAAGGCTGATCAATCAGACAAAGCCAAAATGGCAGATGATGTACAAAACGACCTCCAAACGGTCGTTAACTTGAGCAATAGATGGCTTGTCAATTTTTACGCCTCCAAAACAACACTTCTCTCCATTAATCTTCTGGGAGAACCCTCTCTACCTTCCATCAACATGGCTGATGCTAACCTCCAGGAAAGGGATTCGTTGCGCCTTACCGGGCTAACGTTCTCAGGTGACATGAAGTGGAAAGACTATAGTGAATCCATTGCTGGCTCAGGTGCTAAGAAAGTCAGTTCACTGTGTCATGCGAGACAATTTTTCTCTCTGGAATCTATCTACAACTCTACCATTCGTCCATGTTTATGATATTGCCGCCATATATGATCCGGTGCTCCTTCTCTATGCCCCTGGAGCTCCTTGATGAGGTCCAAAGAAGAATAAGCCATATTCAGCTGGTCCTGATCTGGTGGATCTGATTCAATCACTTGCCCACCGGCGTAAAATTGCCTCTCTGTGCCTTTTTTTTATAAATACTTTCATGGTAATTATTCTGATGAGCTTTTCTCTATGGTACCCAGACAGTATAAGTTTAAGCGTAGTACTAGAATGGCATCGAGATCTGATCAATTTACAGTTGATGTAGCCGTATGTTCTAACAGTTTCTTTACTCGCACTTGTCGCTTGTAGAAATTCCAATTAATACCATGCTTTCCTGCCAACTTTCATGCCAAAAATTTAAATGCAATGTCAATCACTATCTACTGTCCTCCTGATTATTCTTTTCTGCTCATTACTAATGTTTCTGTTCCTAATTTCTCCACACCCTGTTTCCATGTACATTCCAGTGGCTGTACACACTTACTTGGGGTGATACCGATTTTAAAAAAAGTGTACATGCTGAAGTGAGCCGGTCGTATATTAATCATTGGGGTCACATAGATCATAGCCCTTAAAATGCTTCTTCACCTGTGTATAAATTATATTCACTTTTTTTTATTAAAAAAACTTTTTCCAAGTCAAAATTGTAATCATGAATGCTTTGATTCGTCTTTTACGGCTTTTGCGGGTTATTTAAAGATAGAAAATATTTTTGGATTGTAAGAATTCCAGAGGATAATAATGTTTTTTAGTGACGCAAGTCTTTCTAATTACCCTTAGCTGGGAGGAGAAGAGTTGGTGGGGGGGTCATACCTTTCCCAAAGGTATTTGCGATTAAGTGAATGTAACGAACCCGACTGGAATTGGAACTCGGCTCTCCGATTAATAATTCCGAGACATTATCCATTATGCCAACCGCACATCCAAATTTACAGCACCTGGCATTCCCAAGCAGTCACCCATCTAGGTACTGACCAAGCTCGTCGTTGCTTAACTTCGTTGATCGTAGAGGAACCGGTGTTTCAACGTAACATGAGCGTAAAAGAAAGAAAGAAAGAAAGAAAGAAACTTATATCAGAATATTTTACTCAAAGGTCAATGAGCGTAATTTCTGATATTTGCTTCTAGCCAAGACGTGAAACTTCGCTCATCCCCAAAGCCAGTATTCTCCCGTCACCACAAGCCACTCACTTCTCAGACCCAAATCGTTTCTCCACTTGCCTCTTTGCCCATTGACTAAACTTACTGACTGTGGCTCCAGGGTTGGCATCGACAACGACCCAACCTTTAACTCTTATCTCCTTCTTCCAACCTTTCTGTTCAAATTGCTAAAGAGTCAGCGATGAGAGCGGCAGCTCACGCTCGACCCGCTGGCCCGATCCGTGATCACTTCTTTTGTTCTGGCCATGAGCAAACGCAGATCGGCGCACGTAATGGGTCACAAGGGTGTATCTTGAAGATCACAGTTTTGCACGACCCTATCGATGTTCTCTAGTCTGTGGCAAATGGTTGTTATTGATCGAAACGGTATCGATTATACTTGCTTTCGAATAGAGCACAAAATTCAAAGACTGACTTCTTTGTCGGGCAAAAGGCCAGAGCTGGAGTAAACAGCTTATACGTTCCTTTTGCGGAGATCAATATTAAATATCTGGTTAACGTAATAAACTGCAAAGTATAAGCTTTTTAGGTTTCCTAAGTAGATTAATATTTAAATTAAAGTTCGGCGTTCGAGTCTACGTAAAGGATGTAAAACTGCCAAAATCGCAACTCAATTCAAGGAAATTATTGACATTCAATCTTTTTGAAAAGTTGGTACTTACATATGGACCGATTGGGAACAGCGGATACTGCTAAGCAACCTCCGATAATCCGAAATAGGTTTAGGCTTTAAATAAACCTCAGAGGTTTAATAAACCGTAAAAAAACAAACCAATCTGAAGATCTTTTGAAAAGTTCAATGTAAGAAACGATTGATATGTCTCAATTTTCAGCATTTTGCCAAACTAAACAAAGATTAGCAAATAACAGCTTATTAACATGCTTATTGGTAGAAAATCTAGCTACCACCCCATAAAAACCCATTGACAGAGGCCACAAGCAGAACTTGATGCATAAAGTACCCAGAATGCTAGCCGGGATTGCAATAGTTCACGGTTGGCCCCAATGGGAGAGGCAGTCTATTGAAGACCCTATAAAGTAACTCTGAGGAGGCATTCTGGGGAGCACCTATCGCGTATTGCGCAAGCTTAAAACTAATTTGTCATTTGATTGGTTAATTTAATTGGGAAGTTGATTTTGTTTAGTGGTATATCAACCTCTTCAATGTGTTATTTAATGCTAAAATCTACATATTCTGAACACAATTCTATGGCTACAACTAAATATATTTTGAATGCAACTATATGCCTTCTACTACAGATAAAATGTATTGCTAGTCATTTTGCTTTAAATATATATTGTTGATTGATTGATTTTGTTTAGCGGCATACCATCCTCTATATGTTATTCAATGCCTAAACGAAAATATTTTGTACATAATTTTTTTACTTTCAGGCTAAAGGTATGATTTTCAGATATATAATTTGTAGAACGTAAAATGTATTTTTGGTGATTTTACTATAAGAATGTATTTTTATGTTTTTTAGTGTTGCATTGATTGTCGTTTTGCTATAAAAATGTATTGTTAGTTATTTTATTATAAAAATGTACTGTTCATTTTTGTTTTGGGATTTACTATTTGACCATGGCTGGGATTCTAACAGGTGCTACTACTGGATGGACCTGGGATCAACAGAAGTTAAGAGGTGGTTTCACGCTCCCCAAAACCTTCAATCTCCTGATTTGGGACCCTTGCCACCGTATGTAGTTTGTCGTCATTCAGGGCGAGTTCATTTAAGAGAATCAAGGAAATTCCCTTTTAAAAAATAATGTCATTTTTTAAAATCTAAATTCTTAAATGAAATTACTTATATCTGACCTTTTCTATCCGCCATAACCTTTCAGGACCTGGGCGATTATTGCTATCCACAAATTCCTAGCCTTCGTAGCTCGAAGTAATGTTTGTCCTCTTACTAAAAATAGTCACTGTCTTACTATCAATTTACACAAAGTTAGGTAAGTTATTCGCTACGCCTTTTGCCCTCAATGTGTTCTGTCAATATCAAATTCTTGAAGCCTTTTTCTTCATTATTGTTGTCACCAAATGAATGGTTAAAGAAGTGTTTGCAGATAAGTAGTATTTTGCACAGTAAATGAACAAGAGTATTACATGACTTGAGAGTGTGCAAGTACTGATCCTCCAAGACTTAATCTCCAACCAGTCTTATACTCAGTCCACAATCGATTCATTGGAGGAAGGACGCTACAACAATTATGTGCTCCAGAAATTTAAACAGTCTCTTTTTTACAGTGAATTTCACCCCGTACAATGCCAGAGAGATACCCCGGATAGAGGATTACAGAGTAAGAAACACAGTTTATGCGGATATGTGAAGAACATAATGACTAATTCTAGACTTGAAGAGCTCAAGATTGAAATGGTTGGGGAAACATCCTCTCAGGAGTCGGTTCCCCAGAGTAGTGTTTCGCGGAAAGAAGCAGTTCGAGTGGAACTTAATTCTCATTAGCTATAGAGCAGTGAGAGGCTTGCGACGTTTCGTCTCTAAGAATGGAGTTGTAGCGTGGAAAATAATTTATTATTCACAAGGACGCGGATGCGCTTTTAGAATCTATTGAGACTTTAAAGTGAGGACTGGGTAACTCCTGCTTAAATATGGCATCAGTACTCCATGGTTTAGTTCTTTTAAAAGTAGAGGATAACATAAGAATTCAGATACTTACTGGAGCGATACAGAGGACCGACCATTTTCACGGTATCTTTAGGGAGGAATCGTATGTACGAGTTCCACTTGCGATTTGGGCTGAATTTAAGTCCCTATAGTCGCTCAAGACACAGGATTTTCCCGAGGGAACATCCATTCATCGAGATTGGTTTTAGTTCAGTGTTCGATCTGTGATAATGGAATGTTACTAATTTCGTTTTCCGGCCAGTTTCCGTTTCCATTTTTCGTAAAACTTCTTCGTTGATCCATTTATTATATTCTCAGAATCTTTCTGTAAATCCACATCTCCGTTGCCTCAGGTTTGTGAGGAAATTGTCCAGCGCTAACTGCGATGTAAAGGAGTGTTTCTGTTTCTAACGACATTTGCCTGTTCGTTAGTTCTTTGTTTAGCCTTTGCAATACTATTTCGCTATTCCAATGAGCCTTCGGATTTCAGTGTCACAATCTCCGTCCTCTGTTAAAATACTTCACAGATAATTAAATTTCTATGCTTGCTTGCTTTTAATATCACCAGCTCGTGGTTTGCTTTTTTGGCTATCCCTCTTGCTAACGACCATACATTCTGTCTTCTTACAATTGATACTTAATTCTTGCTTCTCACTTTCCTTTACTACTTTGTCTTGGAATTCATCCACTTTTATCCGTTCCTTGAGTTGAGAAATCCTCTGCTTCAAATGTGCTTTCCAAAATATGTTTTGATCTACTGACATGCCACGCACCTCCCATGTCGACTTGTTTGTGGCTTTTCTTGTTTACGATTTAATCCTACTCAGTCGGCTTTTAACAATAACCTTGTTACAGCTTCACTGGTATTTTCAAGGCATAATAGAAAAAAATGGACACTTGTTACATTTTCTTCAAGCGTGTAACTCTTAAATTCTTCCAATCTTTTCATCAAAGAATTGTTTTTTACAGAAACTTAATTCTTTCTCGCATCCTTACTTAATGTTTTAATCTGTTCATCAGGTTTTCACCATTTCTTTAAATATCTTGAAACCCTCGCCTCTGAAACAAGTTCAGCAAATTAATATCTTAAACTTATTAGAGTGACAATGGATTAAAGACCATTTGATAATTATGAATGACATTCTGATAAGTAAATGAAAATGCAATTAATAAACTAAAGCTGTCGGTAGTTTTCTAAATATTTCGATATTTATTCACATCACCTTCGGAATATTATGAAATTTATAGTTAACTTGTATCGCTAATAAATGGTGTCAATATTCAATTAATAGTTACATGTTATATACTCTCATGCAAGAACAAGCTCTGCTTTTTAACCATTAAGAGTTTAAAAAAAATATGTATAAATATAACTAACAAGAAACAAAAGAAATATTTTTTAATCATTTCACCTTCTTCAAGACAGTAAAGCCACTAAGACACAAGGGATTACTGAGTGTGAAAAAATAAGAAAAAAGAGAAACGTTATTAAGGAGCGAGAACAATGAAAGTAGGGAACTTAAGAAGAAAGAAGATAACAATTGACATTGCATCTATATTTTTGAAGATCAAAGTTCAATGGAAAGCATTGGATCCGGATGAGAGTTCTACAAATGAGAACTGCGGAAAAAGAAACTGTTGGCAGAGAACTTATGGTTACATCTAGCCATTTTAACAATCAATTGATGAGATCTTGTCACCAATGCATTTAAATTCATAAAGTTTAGGTACCGTAAAGAAAAGTTCCTCCAAACAATTAACATGAAAGTATTTATAGAAAAGCCACAGGGAAGCTACATTACGACGGTTAGAAAGTAACTGGAGACGAAACACCAGGTCAGGACCAATAATATTGCTGATTATTCTTTGGATTTTATCAAGAATCTTTAAATATACAACAGGAGCACCGGACCATATGTGACAGCAATATTCAAAGCATGGATGAATGGTAGACTTATATGTAAAATAGATTATGGAGAGATTGATTGTGTAGCTGTGAACTAACATTCATGGCAGCAGTCTTATCAATGAATTCAATATAATCTTTCCATTACATGTTAGCCAAAATTGTTAACTCGAGAAGACGCAAAGGAATTATTCTGCTGGAATTATTCCCCTAGAGTCTCTTAGATGATTAACAGAAAGAAGTTTCGTTTTGGGGACGTAAAATTTAACATGTCAATCCTTGCTCTAGTTAACAACAGACTGAAGGTTATTTTTTAAATCAGCTGACAATATGACCATATCC